CGTATGTTTTATTCCCACCGTGACGTGTTGCATATACAATAGTGTCATAGATCACGTGTTCGTAAACGAATACAGAAAGTAAAGCATAACATACTAACTACACTACATTCCTCCTCTACTTGGATTAAAAATTATATTCGTCTGCGTCAACTTTAGACTCATTTCAGTATCTGTATATTATAGACACATCGGCTAAACTGGACTTCGAATGAAAACTTTTATGCGTTAACCAAACTTGTTCATCAGTTAAACATTTGAAAACAGTAATCTCTACACTAGTAGTAAGTCACAATATAAAATCAATTTCTTTAACAAACAGCTATGTTTTAACCTACAGCTCCTAACGTCGTCTGTAAGTTACAACGAATCTAAATATGCATAACAAACTCTTTGAAACGCGCAGGCGCTTGCTTGGTACGTGTAGAGCGTCTTACGTTCCCCTCTGCGTTGTCGCGTAGAGCATCGTGTGGTTCGTCCAATGGTAACTCCACCATTGCTTCATCATCCATTTCTTCTCCATTCGCGACTGGATGTACGCGTTTGAACTTCGAAAGATTGCATGTTATCTCATGATCTCCCCGCTTAGCTGTTACCATGCTCCCTTTTCGATTCTGCACCTTGTATGGTCGTGGATCGTACGGTGTAGACAGCTTATTTGACTTTTGCTGCTTCACTATCATATGACCGTATCACCGATTTGAATTCTACTTTATCTTGCATGTTATTTGTAGTCAGCATAGGACTTCATCTTGTCCTTCCTCCGCTTATCGACTGCACGAATATCTCGAGCTTTCCTGTCTCCCTGAAGGTTAGTTTCTGGTAGTTGTACCTTCATCTTTCGGTTGTTGAGAGCTTCTGCTGGTGACATCCCAATGCTCGAGTGCGGCGTCGCTCGATATTGACGAAGAAATCGAACTAAATCGCTCTTCCAATTTCGACCTTCGATGTTAGACACTCGGATTGTCTTATTTAGTGTTTTCATGAATCGTTCAGCTTCTCCATTTGCCTGTGGCCACAACGGTGTAATACGTCGATGATGAAATCCCAACTCTTCTGCAAACGATGAGAATTCTGCACCATTAAACGGCGGTCCGTTGTCGGTTTTCACTGTGTCTGGTATACCTTGCCTGGCAAATATGCTATCTAGTTTAAGAATTGTGGCCTTCGATGATGTACTTGTCACCAGCTCTACCTCTGGAAACCTACTGTACTCATCTACCACTACTAGCAAGTATTCTCCCGTCGGAAATGGACCGGCAAAATCTACTGCCACTTCTTTCCATGGTCCGCAAGGTAGTGTTGTCATCTTGAGAGGTTCTGGTCCTTCTGCGTTGTTGGCGGTAGCAGCTTGGCATGGCAAACACTGCTTAATTCGCTCTTCCACCAAACGATCTATACCCGGAAACCAAACCTTCTCGCGTAACAAGCTCTTGGTCTTGACGACACCTTGATGTCCGACGTGGGCCAATTCGATTGCTTGCTGACGTAACGAAACCGGCAACACAATGCGTGTGTTCCTCAGCACCAAGCCATTAAAGACTGCTAACTCATCCTTCACTGTCAGATATGGAACAAGTTCCTCATCTGCCCAGTGTCCATGTTCAATTGCACGGATTAGTCTCTGTAGTACCGGATCTCTCAAAGCATGTTCCTCTACGTCTCTCACAGTGAGTGCCTTGGGCACACTGTTTGTACACACGTAATTTATATAGTCTTCGGCCGCGTCTGTCGCTGCTGGTTGATCCGGATGCCTACTCATGTAGTCAGCAGGATTTTCGTCGTCTTTTCCTGGACGGTAGCTGAGAGTATACTTATACGGTAACAACCGTAACCTCCATCGGTCAATCCTGGCAGATGCTTGCTTATGACTGGCAACTAACTCAATCAGCGGCTTGTGGTCTGTTATAATATCGAATTCACTCCCATACAGATAGAGATGAAAGTGTTCAGCACCCCATACTACTGCTAGCATTTCTCGTTCTGTTTGTGAATATCGCTGTTCAACACTAGATAGTGCTCGGCTAGCAAAACTAACGACTTTCCCGCCTTGGCATAACATGGGGGCTACGCCTACTGGACTTGCGTCTACTACCACTTCTGAACGCTTGGTTGGATCAAAATACTCCTCTTTGCACACGCTGGTCAGTTTATGCTTGAGGTCATCAAGTGCTTTCTGTTGCACACATGTCCACTCCCATTGAGCACCTTTATGTGTTAGTTCACGGAGTGCAGACGTCACATCAGAATAATTTGGTATAAACCTGGATACATATTGTGCCATCCCTAGTAGCGATCTGACTTCACTTGCGCTCTGGGGTACACTAGCATTTACGATACCAGATATCTTCCTAGCATCGGCAGCGATCCCGTCCCTGCTGAAAATGTGTCTGTAGAAAGTAACTTGTTTCTGTCCAAACCTGCATTTGTCCTTATTCAGCTTTAAGTTGGCTTGTTCAAGTCGCTCTAGTACCGCTTTCAGGTTTTTGTCGTGCGATTCTTGGGTTTGTCCATACACAATGATGTCATCTGACATGTTTTTGCATCCCTTTAATCCAATCCTTACACTCATCGACATTGGCTCGCACAATAATTTCTAACTACATAGCAGTGATATTTGCCAGACAAACAAGTCCGTTTGTGTAGTTATAGACCGTTGAACTCTCTACTGAAGACGCCAGGCATACGCGCGTAGCCAATCTAAAAAGCTCATCGCCCCTTCAAGGAGAAGAGCAAAACTCGCTCGAAGCAGCGCGAGACACAGTGCGATAACCTGATAGCGTTACACTGCCACAAGGGCTACACCACGCTTCCCCCCCACCCACCCCTCTGTAGATCCATTGAGTAACCGATACTAGTTTCTCAAGTGCTGCGTCTGCGCGCGCACTCCTGGTCCACTCTGCGGTTTCTCTCTAATAATAATCACAAGAAATAATACTCTTTTTATGTCCGCTCCAAGACCCATGCAGTGGAACACCTGTCACTCTCTGCCTGCCTGCATTAAGCAACAGCCCACCACCAAAACTTAGGTACGCTCTCGGGTCACTACATCGTGGTCCTTCTCTTCAGAATCAATTGAAGTTAAGGCAATTCACAGAATTATCTTCTTCGACTTCATCTATCGATCTCACTCTCTTCGAGTCCTCCATCTCTATCTTATCTCCTCTGTCTATCTCATCTAGCTCGTCGCGAGAGAGAAAACATGAAAGTGCGATCCATCTGCTCTCTTTCTCGGCCTCTCTCTCCTCCATCCACCTCTCCGGCTCTCCACTCGCTCCACTATCGGTCACTGTCATCGCCACGTCTGGCTGGGGCGGAATTCTCGTCTCCAATCCTCTCCCAGCCCTCTCACTCCTATCCCTCTCCACGTCTCTCTCTGCGTCGCCCGTTTAAAAGTGGATACAATTCTCTCCCTCTCTCTCTCTCTTGCTCCTCTCTCCTCCTTTCCACCTCATATCTCTCGTCTCGATCGCCACCTCCCGTAGAACCATCTCTCACACCAATCATCTCGTCTCACTTCGTCTCGTCGATAGCCCGCTCTCTCTCTCTCTCCTCCCCTCAGGCTCACTCTCGTTCTCTCTCTTCGCCTTCTAGCATCCTTCGCTGTCCTCATCTGCCACGCCGTCTGTCATCCTTTCTCCTCCCTCTGTTTTTACTTCTCTCTTACTCTCTCTCTCTCTCTCTCCTCCTTTTCTCTCATTTTCCTCTTCTTCTTCCTTATCTCCTCTCTCCGTTCTCTCTCTCTCCTGAGCCCCTTCTTCTTTTGTCGCTTCTCACTTTCTCTCTCTCTCCTTCATCGTGTCTTAACAACTGGTATGCGAGCTCGATGATCGAAACAGAGAGAATATTCCCTTTCTTTCTCCCTCTTCTCTCCACTCTCTTTCGTTTTCTATTAACACGGTTTCGCGGGTCTACCGCTCATTTGCGTCACGCGGTTCTCTCTTCCCTCTTTTCCACTTGTGTTTCCTGGCTATAATTCCTTGCCTGGCTCAATATATGGCTCATCTTATCTGTTCTCACAGAATTGGGCGTTATCTTTGTCCCGTTCGATGATCGTACCTTCTTCTTCTTACGTCACCACCAGCTCTTACCCGTCTGGATAATGTCCCTAACTGTACTCCATTCTACCCACTCCGTCTCGTCATCGCTCATCTCTCTCTCTTTCTCTCTGCCCTATCTATCTATATATCTCTCCTACACTCTCTCAGTCCGTCTCCTGCGAGTGGGCGACCAGGGTCTCACGCCTACAATCACTAGCGAGAGCTATTTCTCTCTCTCTCTCCTTCTCATACCTTCTCTTCTTGTCCCGTGGAATCCTAATGGACCGCAAAAATGCTTATCGTACTCTTGCTACTGTGCCTCGTTGTTCCGTTGGTTCTCCAGTTGCTCGTCTCTGTCCGCGGCAGAGGTAGGTTTCGTTTGCCTCATCTTGAGGAGCGTGTTGCTGGTTCCTTCTGCGTTGTTTCGGGCACGGTAGGCAGCCGTTTGTGTCTATGCAGGCGCAACGAACTTGCTTGGTAATTCGCTCGTTTCACAGCCAGACCAACGACTAATACCTGGAACTGCCGCAAACCTTCTCGAGTAAACGAAGCTCTTGTCTTGCCACGACACCCCTTGGATGTTCCCGACGTGGGCCAATTCGATTGCTGTTGCTGTACGTAAAGCGAAACCGGTCGCACGTGCGGGGTGACGCGAACAATGCGTGTGTTCCTCGCAGCCACCAAGCCATTAAAGACTGGCTAACTCATCCTTCACTGTCAGATATGGAACAAGTTCCTCATCTGGCCCAAGTGTCCATGGTTCAATTGCACGGATTAGTCTCTGTAGTACGATCTCTCAAAGCAATGTATCCTCTACGTACTCTCTCAAGTGAGTTGCCTTGGGCAAACACTCGTTTGAACAACACGTTTAATATTATAAGTCTTCGGACCCGCGTCTGTTTGACAGCTGTTGATCCGATGCCTACCTCAGTGTAGTTCAGCAGGATTTTCGTCGTCTTTTCTGGAAATGTAGCTGAGAAGTAATAGACTGTATATCGGTAACAACCGTGAACCTCCATCGGTCAATCCTGGCAGATGCGTTGCTTAGAAACTTGGCAACTAACTCAATCACGGCCCTTTTTTTTGTGGTCTGTTATGAATATCGAATTCAGCTCCATACAGATAGAGATGAAAGTGTTGCAGCACCCAGAGGGTGCATACTACTGGCTACATTCTCTCAGTTCTGTATTTGTGAATGATCGCTGGTCAACCTAAGATAAACTGCTCGCGGCTAGCAAAACGTAAGACTTTCCGCGCCTCTGGCATTAACATGGGGGCTACCGCCTATCTGGAACAGCTTGGGCGTCTAACCTACCACTTCTGAACGTGGCCACTTGGCGTTGGATCAAATAGCTCCTGCTTTCACACACTGGTCAGATTATTCATGTAATGTCCTGGTGTAGGCTCATTTAAAATGTACAAGAGGTTGCGGTTTCATGTTGCGACACAACAATTCGGCACCGGTCCCATGAGCAAGCTCTGCGATTTATGTGGTGTAGTTCACGGAGTCAGACGTACTCAGAATAATTGGTATAGAACCTCTGGAGTACATATTGTGCCACCCTATGAGCGATCTGGACTTCAGACGTTGCGCTCTGGGGTACACTAGCATTTACAGATACAGGATATCTTCCGAGCGGGATCGTCGGCAGCGAGAGAGGCGTCCCATGCCTCTGGCGAAGGAATGCTGTTCTGGTAGAAGAGTAAATGTTTCTGTCCAAGGGAAAAACCTGCAGTTTGTCCTTATTCAGGCTTCTAAGGCGTTTGGGCTGTGGGTCCAAGGTCGCTCACTAGGGTACCTTTGGTTGCTTCAAGGGTTTTGTTGTCACGTTTTGCGGCGAGTTGCTTGGGTTTGTCGCTTAAACAAGATGTTCGAGTTCACCGCTGCCTATACCAAGAATCTCGAGACGTGTGAGTTGTTAGAAGAGAAATTCCGATGATGTCATGTGTGGACGTTGGACGGACTGTTTTTTGGCATCCTTTAGAGAGCCGAGGTCATAACACTCGTCACTATAGTGCATTCTTCTGAAAGATCTCCGAAAGCGGCGATTGAATACGCGAACATTAACCTTTTGTATCTGAATAACAGTCCGCAACATGCGATTGAGAATGTCGTACAATTAAATCGGACTCACTCAGGTTGGGGAGGTCCCAGGGTTGATGAACGGCCTGAGCTCTTCAGATAAGGTCCAGCGACAGCTGAAAAACTGATGCACCAGTTGCCAAGTCTGTGATGCAGAGGTAGTCAAGTGCAGTCATCGTGCGAAATGTTCGGGCCGATAACATGTTGGTGCGTATTTGACGGCTTCATTTGCGTTTCTCTCATGTCCACAACGATAATCTCGGACCTCATTGTTCTTGTTTTTGGAGGGGGGGGGGGGGGGGGTTGGGGTGACCACCAACAAAGGGGCGTGCGCCAGTGTAGCATTGGAACCGGCTAACGGGACTTCTCGTAACAGGTCCATCTCTTTGAGGTGTTGTCCAGTTGCCTGCTCGGGGTGGAGCATGCTTTCCTGTGACGGTGGAATGGAATAGCGTTAGATAGTGGGTTGTTGTGCTTTGGCTGCCACAATTCTCGTCCGATGTTTAGCGGTCAATCACCTGTAGTGATTTGTTGTCCGGCGTTGGCCGCAACTGACCTCTTCTGGAGAGATTGTGGGAAGACTGTCGCCGGCTGAATTGTTCAGCAGTCTGTAGATCCACATCGGTGGCTTGTGCGTATATGTATAATGCGCTAGGATGTGCTTTCGAAGAGTCTGCTGCTGGGTAGGCGCGGTACAGGAAGGTTAGCCGGTGGCTGCCATCTACCAGACATGAGATAATGTAGTCTGCTGCACTAAGACGAGGCGTTCTTGTCAGTCTGTGAGGTCGTTGGTGTATAGTAACTGGAGCGAACAATATCAGGGTAGCTTCGAGGACAAAGGGTTTCTTGAGCCAATAAGGTGAGGACCGTGGTATCCGTTGCAGCTTGTGTGAAAACAGGGACGCGAAGACATGGGCGTACAGTCAGGATGGCAGAGGGGGGCAGACGCAGACTGGAAAGGGCCGCGCACCCGGCTTATATAGCTCCGGCGGTCGTGAAAGTGTTCGCTGTCCTTATGATGTCACTGATGCGGCCTGGGGTGGCAAGCCGAGTCATGTCTGTTACGACTTTTCCCCTCAGAGGAGACCTCTTTACGAGGGGGGCGTCGCGATGTTAGTAGTCTTTGTCCCTCGGTGCTGTCTCGAACCTAAAACGTGTAACGGTGCATGCGTCCGAGCGGGAAGTCCGGAACTGGATGTGCCTTTCATCTGCTGCTGGGGTAAGAATGCATTGTGCCTCGTGTGACGTGAGTACGCCTTGACTGTTGCGGTCGTTCTCTGTCTTGATCTAGGCACACTGGTGGGGCGGGCAGGCGAAGTGGTGATCCGTAAGCGCATTCCACTTGATCTATCGAAGACGTTGCGCCGGGCGCTGGCTGATGGTATGGGCCGTACTTGGGGTGTGGAGTACAGT